AAACAGGTAAACACTCCAATTTTTCTTGTATTATCTGCTCTATTTCTTTTCTTTGTTGGAACATCTTTAACCAGATGCTTTTACAATTTTCTGGTTCTATCCAGCATTAATCTAAGGTTTGGGGCGGGGTGGCATGGTTTAATGGTTAAATTGGGTCATAACCATAAGTGCTTTGTTTTGCACAGATAAGTTGATATTGTGTATGGCTATGGGTAACAGGAAGTATTCCCTCCTATTCTAGTCATTTCAGTGGGCTGAAAACAGCAGGTAGACATTGAAATAGAACATAACATGAACCTATTTTACTATTGTGACATTGCTTGTAATGCAGTGGTACCCCATTTGAAAGTACATGTACTCTGCACAGAGTATTCCCACTTCTGGCCACAGGTGGGCGATTCTTAATTCAGAGCAAAGCCACAAACTGGTCATCCCAGATTCCTAACAATAATCCTCACAGTGAAGAAGGTTTTCAAAGATTATGAAAGGATCTTGATCAAATGGGTCATAGGGCTGAAAAATGGTAGATGGAGTTCAATTTGGATAAATTTGAGGTATTGCATTTTGGTACAACAAACAAGGGCAGGACTTCTACAACACTACCCAAGGCCCCACCATTAATTGCATAACAGAGGGATCTAGGGGTTCAGTTACATAACTCTTTGAAGTGTGCATCACATATAGACAAGGTGGTTAAAAAGGTGTTTGGCATGCTTGCCTTCATTGCTCAGTCCTTTGAGTCTAGGAGTTGGTAAGTCATGTTGAGGTTGTACGGAACATTGGTGAGACCTCTTCTGCAGTACTATGTCCATTTCTGATGGGCCAGTTATAAGAAGGATATTATTAAGCTGGAGAGGGTTCAGAAGAGATTCACCAGGATGTTGCTGGGTATGGAAGGTTGGAGTTATAAGGAAAGGCTGCATAGGTTGGGACTTTTTCCACTGGAAAGTAGGAAGTTGAGAGGTGACCTTAAAGTGATCATGAGGGGTATAGATAGGGTTAACAGTAGGTGTCTTTTTCCTAGGATTGGGGATTTCAATACTAGGGGGCATGTTCTTGAGGTGAGAGGAGACAGATTTTAAAAAGACATGAGGGGCAGCTTGCTTACATGGAGCATTGTTCGCGTGTAGAATGAACTTCCCGAGGAAATGGTGGAAGCAGGCACAGTTACAAAATTTAAAAGATTTGTAGAGATATGGGCCAGGACCAGGCAAGTGGGAATATTTTAGTTTGGGATTATGTTCGGCAAGGACTGGTTGGACTAAAGGGTCTGTTTCCATGTTGCATGACTCTATAATAGCACAAATAGATCCAATACATGGTGACGTTCATTCTATCCACTGTTTAGAATGGACCCATCCTTTGGTTTAAAAGCATGTTCTTTCATTAAATAGTTTAGGAATCTAGTTACATTTACCCCTGATTTACTCAGTTGGCTGGACTTTTACATCAAATTCCTTTCCATTTGCTGTTGACACTGCCCAGTGTATTGGCCCCCAAATTAATTTCCCTTTGTATTCTACCATCATCTCCAGCTATTTTTCTGACTAGCTGCCTCTTGAAGGAATGGGGCAAGAGTGAATATTAGTAGGTGGGAGGCTCCCCATTAGTCTTGGCTCATTACTCCTAAGTATGGCTGATAGTGTGGTACAATGCGGGGCTGTCAATCACGTGGATAATATATTAATCCATTCTGTTGGGAGTCTGCAGAGATTTTCTCAACTTTGTTTTGATGGTTTGGTTGCTCCTCCCGACTACCTTTGATGTATGAGAGTGATTTTCTTAAGGTGTTTAAGTTTCAATAATAGCTTCTCAGTGAAATATAAGCAGGGTAGCTATCGACTTGAAGTGATTGCCCTCATCTACCAACAACCTCCCACAGCAGTAGTTACATTGCAGTAACACCTACGCTCATGTTATAGGGAAAGGTCTCCAGCCATTTTATGAATATGTCTATCAACAGCAGACAGTACCCGTATCTAAGTGTAATGGTGACGGCTAATAAAATCTACCTGGACGTATGCCCAGAGCAGGGCATTATTTGTAACAAGATTCAAGAACTGTAGTAAGATAGCACAGTATAGAGCTGGATGAACACAGCAGGCCAAGCAGCCAGGAGCAGGAAAGCTGACGTTTCAGGTCGAGACCCTTCTTCAGAAATTTTCTGAAGAAGGGTCTCGACCCAAAACGTCAGCTTTCCTGCTCCTCTGAAGCTGCTTGACCTGCTGGTTCACTCAGCTGTACGCCGTGTTATCTCAGATTCTCAAGCATTGGCAGTTCCTATAATCTCTCTCTCAAGAACTGTAGTGGTTGTTTGTGTTTTTGTTTGAGGAAGAGAAGACACTTTGAAGACTTGACTTCAAAAACCACCTAACAGTCTGGATAGCAGGTCATAGTGGAGAGCTTCACCAGTAAAACCATCAACAAATAGTATTCTCTGGTAGGGGGAGCATACAACAATTGATCTTTCACATTTGAGTGAACCTAGACAACCCAGTGATACATTTATTGATGGGGTTGGTGGTTGAAATCATCCTGAGAGACAACATCGGGTAGAACAGCAAGATCGGAACCAACTCTTCTCTTACCACATAAAGACAGTGGAAGGGGGTTATACGTGGCCTGCAAAAAGGCAGATCATCCACTGGGCCAATTGTTGATAAGGGCAATGGTTCAGCCTCTTGGGTCTTTGACCAGAGTCTCTGCAGCAGTTTGCTTGTAGTATGGAATTGCATTTGGCAAGGGGCTCTGTGGAGTAGACGTTTGTCCTAACCTTACCTACAGAGGTGGGTTCTATTCAACCATGCAGCACCTCATGAATGATTTTATGAAGGCATTGTGCCTTTTATATAAAGATTTACTGTCAATTGTGAAAAATCTACCTTATGTACAGTGGCGGAGTAGGGAAGGGTTAATGACATAGACACTATCCAACTATTGCTTTGAGAACTAGTAGCCTCAATTAACTTGGCTACCTCACACAGGGGGAGGGGGTGTATATCACCAAATAGTTTAATCCAGCACAACAATGGCAAAGCTGATGTACAATGTGCCAGACTGATGGAATGGCCATTCATCAAAAATTTGTGGCACTTCAATTTGGATATGAGAGTTTTGGAAATCCAATGCAGGAAGAGGCAGCCTACCATGCATGAGGCATGAAGCAACAGAATAATCCAGATTGAGCCTCTGGAGCTGACCACGCACAGTCAGGCTGACGAAACAAGTGTGTCTGCTGCTCGAAAGAGTATGTAGATGATAGTGTATCACTTTATCGAAACCGGTGATGTTGGCAAGATGTTTGATGGTCCAGGACATAGCTAACAAGTGTCTCTTGGTTGGTGGTGGTTGGGGG